GAAAGAAGTGAAATCATCATCATCAACTTTTCAATAAAAACAAACTTGTGAAGTAATTTTTTTAAAATATTAATTTATTTTTGCGGTTTTTCTTTTTTTTAACCACAATTTTTTCAAAAAAAAAAAAAAAAAGAAAATTGTTGTGTAGTACATAAGTAAGAAATAAAATGTTAGAAATGTTAAGACTAGGATCGAGGGAGAATAAAAAGAATGAAAAAAATAGAATAGGGTCAACGTATTAATTCAACAAACGCACAAACACATACAAACACAAACATTTCATTTTTCCTTTTTTTTTTTTTTTTTTACGAGTTATACTATTACTTTTAAATGATATAAAATATTGCTGCTATTCTATGGTTCGTGAAACAAAAACATTTTTTTACTTTCACAAATAAAAATTTTATTTTTTCCATTTCGTTTTCAATTATTTATTTATTTGTTGTTAATAAGGCAATGACTGACTGTAGTAGTTGAAGTAAAAAAAAAAAAAAAAAAAAAAAAAATCGAAATTACATTTCAGGTAGATTACGGTAAAAAGAAATCATCATCTGTAATCATCATCATCATCATCATTTTTTTTTTTTTTTTGCGGTTAATTTTTTTTTCACGGCATGTTGCCCTTCTTGTCCATATCATCATCGTCGACATCTTGTCTTTTTTCCTTCGTTTTCAAGTTAAATTGAAGAAGTAACTGTATATATATATAATAAATACGTTTTATTCGTTGTAATCATCCCTGTTGTTACGCCATTTTGTTATTTTAGAAAAATGTGTAAGGAAAAAAATTATAAAATGGCTTTCGATTGTGTTTATATACAGCATCTGAAAGGATCAATTCATCGAAACGCAAATTAAAATTATTAAAAAAGAAACTTTTAAATTATCTCTTGACAAAAAAAAAATTATTTTATTATTTTTAAGATTATATATATGTGTAGCCATCAAAATAATATTCATTTTATTATTAAAGATGGCGTGGAATTTGTTGTTGTTGTTGTTGTTTAACAAAAAAAATGTTTGTTTAAAAAAAAAAAAAAAAAAAATGGCTTAAACCTAATATTTCACTTCGCCATTGAATTATTTCAAATTTTTTTATACGTTATTTGATTTTATTACTTGTTTTCATGGGTATGGATTTCTGTTTTTACTTACAATTTTTTTTTTTTTTTTTTTTGCGTTATAAAGTCAATGACATACCCGACCTTTCTTTTTTTTTAGGCCACAAAAATTAACTGCAAAAATAATAATAATAATAATAGCGACCAATGTACACGATGTTTCTTTTTAATAATTGAACCATTAAAAATTTATTTTATTCCTTTTTTTTTTCGAAAAAAAAAAAAAAAAATTTTTTTCTAAACGTGTTATTATAATTACTTAATCTATTTCTTATAAACGTATTATAATAATAATAATAATAATATAAACATTAATTCGATGAAGGCTTGGTGACACACGCATACAAACAGGAAGAGGCGCACTTCCTTTTTTTAAATATAAAAAAAAAAAATCGATTTTTGGGCGGATATGGATTATAAACACTAATATTTAAATAAATAAATATTTTAATTAATGTTTATTACCGTGTCGGGGTGTAAATGCAAAACGCCCTAAATCACATTTTATTTGTTTTTTTTTTGGGCTAAATTTCAAACCGTATTAAAAACAAAACAAAAAAAAATTTTTTTTTTTTTTTAAATCGTCGGTCAATGGCTTTGTCGATTAAATTTTTTCTTATTAGCGACCTGATGATGATGATTATGATCGTATAAGATTAATTAATTGATTTACAAGCTCGGAAAAATTAATTGAAATTATTAAACTAATAAAACTAAATATCTGGCTATTATTACGATGGTATAAATAAATGTTTTAATTTGAACTTTAAATTTGACTTGATTAATTTGAAAAGTACTCGGACTTGTAATTACTATAAAACTTTATTAGAGAGAGAGAGAGAGAGAAATGTTAGGGTACGATTCCTCGAATATTATTTTTCAATTTGGAAACTTTGGTGTTGTATCATTTAGTTAAATAATAATAATTATTATTATTATTAACAACGTGTGTTATTATTTTTTAAGTTTTTATATATATATATATATATATATATATATATATATATATATATATATATATAAATTAGGTGCTAATTTTTTTTTTTAGTAGTTCGTTAAAATAATTTTCAATTGGGAAAATTCTTTAAAAATTTTAGTTTATGTTTTTGTGACGTCAACAATCGGACGAAATTCTCACTTCCGCAAATGATTTTGCTGCAAAAAAGCAAAATGTAACAAACAATAAAAAACTAAAATTTTTTTTTTTTGTAAAATTTATGGTTGCCATGTAATTTATAACGTACTGGAAAATGTTATAATCGTAATAATAATAAGTAATATAATATTTCGTAACTTTGTAAGTTCTCATCCGAAAATAATTTTATTATTATTATTATTATTCTATAAATTATCAAATTAATTTTTTTTTATTAATTTCACTACTTTTTCTATTTCTTTTGTTTAAAAAATTATTATGAATAACACTCGCAAGTGAATATTCAATTGTTTTGATTTATAATTTAATAATTATTTTATTACCTAATTTATTTATTTTTTTTTTTTTTCGAATTTTTCCAGGATTTTAAAAAAAGTGTGATAAAACGAGAATGAAAGTCTCAATATGCAGGGAAAAGAATCGAATAATAAAAAACTTTCAAGTCCTACAGAGCTTTATAAAAGCACAAAACGTAATTCTGCGGATTTAGGAAATGCTCAAAGAAAATTATCCTTATTGTCAGACAAGACTGACAACGGCATCACCAAAGTATTATGCAATAATTTAAATTTTCCGGTTTCAGCCGGTAAAGACAACGTTCGAATGATAGATAGAAGTTTTGAAAAAAATAATGGTGACCAAAGTTTCGAAGGTGGGATACACCACGAGACTAACGATGGAACCGACAGCGGTGTCGAAGTGATTCGTGCACTCAGCAGTAACGGTAGCAACAGCGACAGAGCTACCCCCGTTCAATCTTGCGGCTCGAGTTTAGTGAGTTATTCTTCGGAGCCTGAAATAGATAGGGGAAGCGAATGCGAAAGCGAGAGTTCAGATAAAACCCGTTTAAAAAAAGGAAGTGATAGTGGGGGGAGTAATATTTGGAAAATAAAAAAAAATTACGGTAAAACGGAAAGATCGCGATTAGGAAGTCGAAAAGGTAGCTGTTACGAAGGTGAGGGTACGAGCGAATCTTGCAGCGAAACATCATCGACTCATGAAGCCGTTACTCCCGATCAATTGAATCCTTCTTTAGACTTTAAGAGATCAAATCGACTGCGGGATGTGAAAAATTCGGAAAGTGGTAAATCCTCAATGGTGCGCAGATCAGAATCTATGACGAGAAACGGCATTTACGAAAAGTCATCCGTTAGATCACACAGCGGCGTAAGAATTTCATCTTCGGCGTCAAAAGTCAATTCTGGTTCAAAGTCTGGTCAAATAAGTAGTCGAAGCGTAAAAACAGGAGTTGCAGAAAAACCCGACAGTAAGGGAAACAAAGTTAAAAGCAGTGAAAAATGGTCGTCTTCCTCTCAAAAGACTCAAACGTCGGGAGCGAGAATTCGAGTATCGAGCGTAGCAGATCCAACCCGAAGAAATAGTTCTGCAGTCATGTCCTCCAGTTTAACATCAGGTTCGATAGAAGAAAGTTGTAAAAACGACATTTCCGAAATAAAATCAAACGCATTAGATAAATACGGCACATTGCCGAGAAGGCAAAAAAAGAAATCGGTGGTTTCGGAACCATTATCGATTTCTGTCGTTCAAACTTCGCTCTCGAGGAGTAATTCAACATCGAGAGAACCGAATTTGAATAAAACCGTTACGTTAAGAAATCAAAAATTAAAAGAAAAAAATAAAACTTTACCTCCTTATCCTAAAATAAAAAAGAACTCGTGTAAAACTATTATTTATCACGAAGTAAGCGTACAGACTCTTATAACGAATCAAGATATAAGTTGCACTAGTTCGGGTATACAAATAAAAGAAAAAAAAACCCAAGAAGGTACTTGTCAAAAAGAAGATAAAGAAATTCAGGTACGTACATTAGAAATCATTTTTTCATTTTAATTATTTAAAACTCAAAAATTTTTTCTTCTTCATAGACTGAAGGTAGAGAAAGACTGAAAAAATTGGAAAATGATTATTTGAAACAAAATGAAAAATTGGAAAAATTCATAAAAGAAAATGAAGAATTGAAAGAGGATAAAAAAAATATTTTATTGAAAATAAATAAACTTCTCGGTCATTCGGAAGATGTCGACATTTTAAATAACGGACTCAACGAACTCGAAAAACATTTTCAAGCTGTCGGTTTGACCGTTCTCAAACAACAGCAAGAATTGTCAGAACTCCGAAGATATAAACTCATTGCTCACAGAGTAAGTTACCACAAAAAAAAAAAATACTCTATCATGTTGCTGTTGTTGTTGTTGTTGTAGTTAACAAAAAAATTTTTAATTACATAATAATTTATGATTTATTTTTTTATAAAGGAAATGCACCGAAAAGTATATAATAAAATAAAAGGTCAAAGGTTACATAAAAAAGATAAAAGTCATTATAAAAATATAACACATAAAAAAATTTTTATTGTAAAAAATTTCAAAAAAAAAAAAAGGAAAACAATCTTTTCTTATTATTATTATTATTATTATTATTTATTATTACTCGAGTAATAAATTAATAATTTTTTTTATTTTTATTTTACTGTAATTGTATCGTTTGTTTCCTATATATTAAATTAAAAATAATAATTTCTAAAGTAATTACAAAGGAAAAGTAATTTATACAGGTAGAATAATAATAATAATAATAATTAATATTATTATTCATGTGATTTTTCTTTTTTTTTTTTTTTTTCATTACAACTAATTATTACCCAAAAAAAAAAAAAAATTGAGATTTAAATTCCAACAGTGCATAAAAAAAAAAAAAAATGAAAAAAATGAAAATTTTTTATTACCGTAATTTTCTTATTTTTATTTTTTTTAAAAAACTTTCTTTTTCATTTTATTAAAAAAAAATTTTTTTTCTTATAATTTTCACTTTTTTTTTTTTTTTTTTTAACTTAGTTGGGGGGGAGGGGAGGGGAAAAAAATGAAAATTTGTTTTGTAATTTTTTTTTTTTTTTTTTTGTTATTTGATATCGTTGTAGGATTTAGAAAAAAGTCTTGCCGCTCAAAAAAATCTTTTACAACAACAACAAGAAATCGAAGAAGAATATTCGGAATTGCAAGATTTTTTACAAGCTGAAAAAACGGCTTTATCCGAATCACTTTTGGATACCGAAGTTGAAGTAAGTAAAAAAAAAAAAAAAAATTTTTTTTTTATTATTTTTTAGCCATTTTGATTTTTAATAAAAATTTTATTTCAGCGGTTAGTTTTAAATAAACTTTGCGGTTAGATTAATAAAAATTTATATTTAAAAAAAAAACGAGGGAAAAGTTAGTCTCGAGTATTAAAAATATAATAATAATTAAACTTAAGTGAAAGTGTAATGAATTTTTGATTACAATATTTCGTCGAAAAATTACGAGTTTGTGTTGTGAAATTATTATTGTTGTGCCGCCATTTTGTTTTTTCCTTTATTTTCGTATAATAAACGTTAGGGAAATTTTTAAATTACTTTTTAAGTTGGCAGTACTTTTTTAACGAAGAGAAGTTTCAGAGAAGAACGTTTTTTAAAACGATTTTTTTTTTAAATAGTGTTTTATTTATTCGAGATAAAATTAAATTATTATTCGGATTAAATAAATAAAAATTAGATTTAAAAATAAATAAATAAATAAATTTTTGTATTTCGAATAAACGGTTAATTATTTTCTTTTACAGTTAAAAAGACTTAATAGTGAAATTAATAAAAAAGAAACGCTTCTTCAACAACAGCAGGAAGAATGCAAACACCTAGTCAGGATATGCGAACAAAGAAGGTAATTTTTTAATTTTTTTATCTAATCTTTTATTTTTAAGACCACTCGACAAAAATACAATCGAAATGTTTTTTTTTTCCACGCCAAAAATTTTCTCAGACAAGAAAACCTTTCATTGGAAGCAAAATTAAGCGGTTTAGATCAAAGAAGTCGTGATGTTCTCGTACAGCAAGGAGCTGCCGTGTCTGCAGCTGCAGTTGCTTTATCTGGTCTTGGAGCTCGTTTAGATACTTTGGTCGAACAATTGTCACTGTCTTGCAATATAACAGAAAAAGATTTAGAGGTACAGAATCAAATGAAACAGTCAATTAAAATTTCTTCTTGTTAATTAAATTAATTTGATTTTTTAAAAAAAGTCATAAAACATTCTTTCAAATAATGATGAATTAGTTACTTTAGTAGATTATTTTTTTTTTTTTAAAGAACTAAAGTAGAGTAAATTTTTTTCAAACGATTATAAACATTAATTCGAAAAAAAAAAATTTATTAACATCTAATTAACTTTCACATAATTTTTATGTAATTGATTGTTATTATATACGAAATTCAAAATTATTCTAACAATTATGTTAAGTAAGAAGAAGCTTGTTGCTTTGTAGGGCATTAATATGTTAGATTCAAATTGTAAAGGCTTAATATCGCTCTTATTGTATTTTGTGATATTTTATCGATTTGAATTACTTTTTAAAAAAAAAATTTTTTTAATTAAATTAACCAAGTAATAATACTTTATTTTCAAAAGTATCATTATAGTAAATAAATATATATGTGTAAATGTTTCTATTGATGTTAATTATTGTTGATAGCCATAAAGTTAACAGCTGTCAATTTATTTTAATATATTATTTGTAATGTTTAAATGAATTTTAAGTATAAAAATATATTATCGAGTAAAGGAAAGATAGATTTATTTTATTTTTTTAATTTAGTTTATGTGAAAATTTTTTTTTTGTAAAATTAATGAATTTTTTTTCTATCGAAATGTGATGGGAGTTAATTTGAATTTTAAAAAGGGAAAAATTCTAGTCGATTAAAAATTAATTATTTTGTAAATTAATTTTATTTTATTATAAATATATAAATTATTATTTGGTAGTAATATATATATATATATTGATTTCATGAAATGATTTGAAACGAAAAAGTAAAATTTATTTAACAGTTAAAACATAAATATTTATTTATTAATTTGGGTAAGTTTGAAATTTATTTAATGTCGAAGCTTTTTTTTCTTTTTTTTTTTTTTAATACAAAAATTTGCTAGCTTTTGAGGCTTTATTCATTCATTCATTCATTCATTCATTTATAAGTAGATTTATTGTGTCGTATAAGTAAAACTTTTGGCTATCAACAATTTTTGTCTTGGCTATAAATTATTTTATTGTGTATAAAATTATGTTCGCCTGATATTTTTTTTTTTTGTATGTGACGTGCATTGTAAATCCAATTTATTATTATTTTAACTTATTTTTATATTTTTTTTATATTTATTTAGGACATAATTTTTCACAATGAAGCTTATAGTCAAAGTGAAGATAATTCACCTGATTATCCAACATCAAAACCATTGGAAATTCCTAAACAGGGAGAATCATTATTGCAAGTTATTTTAGGAGCTATAAGAAATGCTGCTCATTCGCCATTTTTAAAAAAAAATTCATCGTCGTCTAGAAAACCTTCGGGTGAGTTGTTAAATGCTTTCTTGTTGTTGTTGTTGTTGTTGTTTAAACATTTTTATTTATTTATTTATTTTTTTTTTAGATAATACTTTGGAACAACTCACGTTTTTCGATGCTGAATCAGAGCCATGTTTAAATTTGGAAAGTTCGTTCGATGAAAATTCTTCTTGTTCTTCGAGCAAAATCGTCATAGAAGATGAAAAAAAGATTAGTAAAGACGAAGAAGAAGAAGAAGAAGAGCGTTGTCGTAAAAATAATTTAACCCGAAGTAATTCCCTTCAAAATCTTTCCGATGCCATCTTGAATAGACAATTGATTGAGAAAAATGAAAATGTAAAAAGTATTTTCCTCGACGAAATCATTCCCATAGAAGTCAATTCTTTAGTCGATCAAATAATCGACGTCGATAATTTAGTTACGAAATTATTAAAAGTTATTAGAATCATTCAAGAAGAAAATGAAAAACATGTGGAAAAATTAAAAGATGATAGGTTTGTCTTTGTTTTTACCGAAATGGAAAACTAAAACTTGTTATTTTTTTTAACTCTAAATCATTTTTTGTGTTACGTAGATCGAATCTCTCGGAAGAATTAAATCAAGAGAAAATAAATCAGGAAAAATTAAAAAATAATTTAGAAAGACTTCAAAAAGAATTAACGGATGCAAGATCTCAATTGAACGTTCGCATAAGTCAACTCGAAGATGCGAAATCTTTATGTAAAGAAAACGAACAAATTGCTATGGACGAAATGCAAAAAAGATTCGATATGATCGATTCGGCACTCGGAGTAAGTTGAATTTTCATGAAGATGATCTATTATTATTATTATTATTGGTATTATGGCAAGAGGATGTAAAGGGAAATCACCGCACGATGTTTAATCGAGAATTTGTCCTTATTACTTGATATTTTCAGGCGTTGAATTCGGTTCAGGATATGGTTCTTAAATGTCCACCGTTGGCTTTACTAAGACAAGAATTAGTCGAAAAAAGTTATGAGAAAACGGCGAACGGCGATGAAAATGCAAATACGTCTTCGAACGGAAATAATGATGATAATATAAATATAAAAAATAATAAAGCCGTCCTTACAACAGCCATATAAATTTTTCGTTTTTGATTTATTTAATTATCAGAGAGAGAATGATTGATCACTTGTTAAACATAATTTTTTAATTCACGTTTTTTTTTGTATTTACATAAGTATACATATAAATATATACGATTATTATGTATATAAAAAATTTTTTGTTCGTAACAAACAATCGGTCATATTTTTTAGTAATTTTAATTATTTATGTATCTGTCTTCTTTTATGTATTTTACGTTGTTAGTTTTTTTATCAATTTTTGGTTTTTATTTTTTATGTTATTTTATTTTATTATTATTATTATTAAAAAAAAATGAAATTTTTAACTTTATTCATAAATCAAAACATTATTATTATTTTTAATATATATATATATATATTTTTTAATTTCAGATTTTTATATTCGAAAATTGTTTATTTTTGTACAGTTAAAATTAGTCAATTTAATCCCAAAACTATATCAACGTACAGATTTTTCTTATATCCTGTTTTTAAAAATAAATACAAAACGGGTACGGGTACGGGTACTACAATAATAATAATAATAATAATAATATTAAAAAATTAAAATCTAAATTTATATTTTAATATATATATATATATGTGTATATTACATTCATTTTAATTAATTAAAATTAAACTAAATTTTTCAAATTGATTTAATTATACTGTGCATTACGGAGGGGGAGGGAGGAGAGGAAGGGGGCGGTTTCGTGACCACCGTGAGGAGCTCGTATGTATCATTTCTGTGCAAATTTTTTTTTTTTTTTTTATTTTAAAAAGAACATTAAAAATAGACATTTACTGCACCAATTACACTTTTTTTAGAATAAGTTACGCAACCATTTTTCCCTTACTAATAATAATAATAATAATATTGACAAAAAAAAAAAAAAAAATTTTTTTTGTGTGAGAATTAATTAGAGTTTAAAAAAAAAAAAAAACAATTTTTTTTTTTCCCCTATTATAAATAATATATATATATATATATAAAAAAAATTTTTCCGCGGAATCATTCCGCGAAATCCTAATCTCTAAGAAATCAATACTACAAATATAATCATTTTTATACATATTGGGTGTCATCGCGTTAAAAAAAAAAAAAAAAAAAAAAAAAAACTATTTTAAGAAAGGTATAGTCTATGATAATCGTTTGCTCCGAAAGCTGCGTTGCATTTGGGACATTTTCGCTGACGCGTTTCGTAACGCGTTCTAAGACAATCCCAACAGAAAACGTGAAAACATTTACTGAGAACCGCATCTTTTCTTTTGACTTTACACGAGGAACACGTCAACGTTTCCTTGTATTCCCGAATTTCTTCCATCATGACTTCGTCAAGCGTACCCGCCAATTCTATTTTCTTCATTCTTTCCGCTTTCCTTCTCAATTGAGCCATTTCCTCCTAGTAATGTTAAAATTATAATGAGTGCAAAATTATTTTTTGGTAAGTTTAGGGAGAGGAATATCCTTAAAAAACGCATCTTATCGACTCTTACTTGAAGTCTTCTGGTTTTGTATGCTTCGGCTTCGAGCGCGCTCGTTTTTTCAGCCACCACTTGCTGTGCTTCCTTCATTTGAGCGTGATATTTTTCCAAGTGCAATTTAAGATCGGCTGCTGATTGAGCGCTTTCGATCGCTTTTCGTTTATGCATTTCCATGGCTTGCTGACGAACGCTCAATTCTTTTTCCGCTGTCGCCAATGCATTTTGCAGTATCCTTTCTTTTTCTTCAAGCTTTCTAACAACGACGTTTGTGGCTTCGACTTGCGTGGTGAGAGTCAACACCTGGATAATACGAAATTGTGTAAAATTGAATCCAATTTATTAATAGTTCATGGAAAATTCCCACGAGTGAAAAACAAACAAACCTGTTCTTTCAAAACTTCTTTTTCTTCCCTCGATAACTTGTGCAATTGATTTGATTTTATCCTTTCGGTCATCAATTTGAAATTGGCATCATCTTTTTCTCTCAACTGTTGTATTAGTCTAGAATTTTGTTCTTGCATTTCTTCGAAAGCTTGACCGGTTACTTCCATTTCATTTAAAAGAGCCTCTTCCTCCTAAAAATATTCCTCATTATTATTATTATTATGATCTCAAAATAAAACGCTTTGAAATTCGTTTAAAAAAAAAAAAAAATTTTTCAACTTACAAATGGTCTCATTAAATGAAAATTACTATGTCCGGTCCAACTTCCGTCGGTTTGTTTTTGGGTGGCAACCTGTTTTTGTAATTGGTACGCTTGCTCTTCAAGTTGCTTAATTTTTCTTATTGCATCCTCTTCCGCCAATTTTTTTTTATCTTCTCTTTTGCTTTCTTGCATTTTTTTCAACTGTTGTTTTAAATCTTCCAATTCAGCTCTCGTTTTTTTTTCAGCGGCCATCAATTGAACTTTGTCCCTTTGCTCCTTGCTTACTCCTTTATACATATCCAACAACAGTTTCATTTCTTTTTGTTCGTTCAGAGCTTTCCTGATGATAAAAAGTTTAAACGTAAATAAAAAACATGATGATGGATGGGATTATGAAAAATAATTAATTTTTTTTTTTTTTGTACTTACTTTAATTGAGCTTTTAAATCTCTTACAAGCTCCGTGTCGGGAACTTTTGCTCTTTGATGAGGACTGTTTGAATTATGATGCTCTTTGGTATCTGATTTAATAGCCGCAGCAGGACTAGACGCAGCCCCATCTTTTTTCGAATCTTTATCTGATTTTTTTAAATCTCCAGATTTATCTTTTTTAGTACCTGGAGATGTGAGTATCTGTTTATCTTTATCACTTTCCGAGATAAAATCGTCCGCCTGAATAAAAATAAAAAATAAAAAAAATATTTAATTGACAATTCGTAAAGTACACCAAAATATTTTTAAAAAAATTTTTTTTTCTTTTTTTTTTACTTCGTTTGTTTCGTCTGCATGTTCTTGTTTAATATAATCCTGTTCCTCCTTGATTATTTCACACGGAGGCGAAGATTCTTCTTGTTTGGGAGGTCCTTCTTCTTTGATTTCACATTTCATATCTAAACTCCCTCTTCTACATTGGAATTCTTCGATTTGCTTTTTTAGCTAAAAAAAAAAAAATTTTATTAAAAAATTAATGCTTCGATGCATGAACGACAGAGTATCGATTTGAAACGGGATAATTCCAGAGGGCTGACATTTCACATACCTTGGGTATCTCACTGTTAGCTTCCTTGTATTTTCTTTTATATCTGTGTACTTCTCCCTTTAATTGCTGATTGTGATTTTGCAAAGAAGTAATTAAATGCCTCATTTCTCTATTGATGGGACCGGTTTGTTCATTTGCTGCTAAATTTTGTTCAAACTCTATTCTCAACATTTCATATTCTTTTCTCGTTTGTGCAAGTGCATCCTCTAAAACTATAACTTCGGATCGAAGTTTTTTTTGATTGGCTAATTCATCACTCTTTAAGAATAGAAAAATTTTATTTCGATTAGTATAATAATAATTTACAAAAAAAAAATATTAACTTAAACTTAAACTTTCATTATTTTATTTTATTTAAATGCATACACTTACTTCCATTATTTCTATTTGCCTCAAATGATTATTTTTAGAATTGTGTAAAGCATGCCTAGTTTCTTCTAATTGAGTTTTAAGTTGCATACATTCATTATATAAAACTGAAAATTGAGATTGAAGACATTTGTATTCTGTTGTTTCTACAACTACAGATTCTGGCAACTGTCTAATATCCATTTTTAATTTTTCAACTTCTTTCAACGTTTCTCTGTGCTGCTGATGAAGTTTATCTAATTCTTGGAGACGATTATTTGCTAATTCTCTTTGCTCTTCTAAATCTTTTTGCAATTCTTCTAACTGTATAATTAACAAATAAATTTTTTTACAAAATCCTTATACAAAAATTATTATTAAAATACTTTCAACCGTCAAATATTGTTTTATTACTTTTTTGTGGGATAAACTTGTTACGACTGGCTTCCCTTTTTCTGAACCTTTTTCTTCCGACTGGAGTTGTTTGTAAGTTTTTATTTTTTCAATGGCTTCAGCCAAATGATTTTCTAACTTATCATTACGAGCTGTTACTTTTAATAATTCATACTGTAAATCATCTATTTGATTTCTTAATTCTGCCGCTTCAGTATCTTTACCAGTGACTAGATCTTGTAATTCTGACATCTGAAAAAATCAAAAAATTATACTTTGTCACTTTGTGTTACACAGTAATAAGACAAAGCATTGGAAATGTATTTAAGAGTACCTTAAGTGACATTGTGTGATATTTCTCATGTAATGATGTATTTAAAGTATGAAGATTTCTATTTTCAGCTTGCAGATCTATATTGGCTTGCCTAATTGTTTCATCCATATTAGGTTTCTCATCTAAAAATAATTATTATAAATTATAATTTCCAAAACCGAATGACTCAAATGTAAACATTAATGTTAATAAATTTAAGTGAACATTTATAGGTCAATTTAAGGTTTGTGATTATTACAACAGAATAACATTTAATGTTAATGAAATTTTCAAAGAACTAAATAAAATAAAAATAAAAATTAATTATTATAAAATTAAAAAAATGGTCAAAGCATGCAAAATAAAGAAAAAATTCATATCCAATGCTTTGAATTATTTTGCCAATTAAAACTGCAAAATAATAACATTAACATCAGCATATGTTTGAACTAATTGTCTATTGAAATAGTAATTCAAATTTTCAATAAGTGCTAAATTTTAAAGCAAAAGCCTAAAAGGCTTTCGATTAAAATCTAAAAAGCTTAGACCCAAAGCATTGGATGTAAAACATAAGCATACATTCTACAGGACAGGACTGTAGAAGATTCCACAAATGACCTCCATCTAATTCTCCCTTCAGTGCCAGCGTGATTTTTTCATTTCTCTGCATTAACCTATCAAATGCCTGAATGACTTTGGCCACAGCTCTTTTTGATACCTGAACCCTATTTGCTAACTTATCATCCAATTCTTCTTTATCCCAAGTGGATAATTGCATTAAAAAGGAAGTAGTAGCTTCATTTTCATCTGTAACGAAAAAATTTGAATAAATATATACTGGGGGAATATTTAAAATTTAAATGAATAATATAATTAAATAATTAATATACTTTTATTTTCAGATTCATCAGCAGTTTCTGCATCAAACCTTTGAAGAAGAACACGTATATCTTCATTTAACTGATTCCAATATCTATTTACAACATTTAAGACTGCATCATCTTGCGTTTGTCTTTTTTCTAGCTGTTCTATCCTCTGCCTAAGTTCAGCTTCTATTCTATGCCTCTGCTCTAACCTCTGGGCAAGTTTTTTATTTTGAAACTGAATTACTTTGATATCTAATTCTTCTAACATCGATATCGGGCCGATTTGTATGGGTTCAAACTGTACTTTTTTAATAGGTGGCTGCCCGCTTAGGTTAACATCATCGGCGGACCGTTTATTGGTAGAAGCCATTCTGTTAGTTCTTTTTTTTTTTTATTTAATGTAAAAATGTAATTAGTTTCGGAATCATTTATTTTATTTTTAACACTGTCTTCAGGCTTCCTAATTAGTAATTGTAATTACACTCTAAATTTACAAAATACACACAAACTCTCACGACACCATTTTGACAGGAGCGGATTCAAAGTTATGTAAAATATAGTTTAATACATTTTTCTGAAACCACGAAATTTAATAAAATTGAGCGCCAAGGTACATTTTATTGTTAAATTCATAACTAATATACGAAATTTTCAGGCATGAGTCTTGTTGCATTTAATACTACAAAATTATCAAATTTTCGTAATTAAAATTTATAACTGGACTTTAAAAAATTTTTTGTTACTTATTTTAAGATTTTTAAAAATTACCATAGAAACCGAATTTTTGTTTTAAATCAATCAAAAAAGTTAACGATTTTTTGATATTCCCTTAGTTTCTAGCCCAATTTGTGCAAATCAATCCATTATTATGAGTCGTGCAAACGTTCGAAATTTTAGCGGAAGAGCTGTTTTGGCTTTGCCACCTCCTCCAGAAAGATTTACATATGATGAGTGGCAGCAACAAACCACTCAGAAATTTCGTGCCGCTGATGATCAAGCACTTTTGTCTGATAGAATTTTAGAGGAGAGTGCAAGAGTAATTGATAATATAAATGAAAAATTAGATAAAAATAAGGAAGTAACTGAACTGAAAATGAAGGAAAGAGTTGGTGATATTGAATTTTTAAGAAATGAAGTTGAAAGATCAAGAACTGTCATTCAAGTCGAGTTGGAAGCTCTAAATGCTTTTAAAGAAAGAATTCGGGATGCATTAAATTCAATTAAAAATATAGGAAAGACAAGGACTCAAAGATGTTGCATATTAAGGTGAATTTTTTAATCATATTATTATTAATTTAATTACAAAAGAGTTTTAATATTATTTTTACACTACATACATACCTCTTTTGTTTAAAATTTTTTTTAAAAATTAAAAAAAAAAAAGGAATTTTTTTTCTGGTTTTTTAGGGAAAATAGATTGGGAATTGACTTAGTGCAGGATAATGTTGAAGTTGAATTAAGAAAAGAAATTAAAACAATAGGTTCTTCTGAAATGATCCTTCAAAGAACATTGGAGCAAGTTGATGAAATTATGAGAGAACTAAGGGCTGCATTATTCTTACTTGATAGGGACTTGGAAGATAAATTAAAAGTATTAAACATAGAAAGAGATTGTTTAAATTTGAAAACTACAGATCTGAATCTTTCTACATATCATGGTACCAGACCTTTAAATGTTTCGTAAGTTGAAGAAGAAAACTTGAATACATTTTTTTTTTTTTACTTATATTAAAAACTTATCGGATTTTAATTAGTTTTTTAAATTCATAAAAATTACTATTAAATGTATATTTATTTACATTGATTCCATTAATAATAATAATAATAATAATGAGGAGTAGTAGTTTTATCTACTAAATTTTTGTAATTTTATTTTAGTAATAAAAAATTCTAAACTTCTTGCATTAGAAATGTAGCTTTCCATGAATGGCAGCGCTACACAGATGATATGATACTCAAGGGTTTTAAAAATGTCAATACAGCTAGAAATTTTAGAAATGTTGTGGATAGAGTATTAAAAGATGTTGTGGAAGATTTAAGAAATCAATATAATGCTGTTAATGAAGCATTTAGTCAAAGAATCGAAGAACAGAAAGAAATGAAAGTCAAATTTGAAAAACAACTTTTTGAAGAAAGTATTTCGACTTATTTATTATCGAAATTAATTACAAAAAAGTAATTATTTTCATTTTTTTATAAACAGGTAAACAGACAAATAAATGAAATGACGAGAAATATTACTAATTTAGAAAAAACCATTGCTGATAAAGAAGGATACTTGGCTTTAGCACATACAAGATTAGGAAAAAGAGCTCACAGGCCTCAAGTAGAATTAGTGAGGTTGGTAAATTAAAAAAAATTAAAATTTCTTATGATTATATATAATAGTAAAACATAATTCGAATAATAATCATATTTATTTTATTACAGGGATGAAGTTGAAACAAGACTAGTGAATGAAATTTTTGAAGTAAGAACATTAGTTCAGGATTTGCAAAAAATGCTTCTGGAGGTATGTTTTTAATTTTTTTTTTTTTTGTATCAAATCATTATTTTTTTTTCTTTTTATTTAATAAAATTTTATTATTAATTTTAGTCTCAAGCAAATTTGAGATATTTATGTAAAACCCAAATACAACTTCAAGAAGACATAAATATAAAAATAAACAGCATTAAAATAGATGAAGTTGATTGCATGAGTCTAAGACAAGGAATTGGTTATTATAGTTTTTAAAATTTAAATTTTTTATAACTTTTTTTAATTATAAAATTATTTATTATTAACTAGGAATAGGTTAATAAATATTTTTTATTAACTATATAACTTTATTTTAAGTTTTATTTAAAAACTAAAAATTAAATACGTAAGATCGATCAAACTTGTAGATTTTAAGTTACCATGGTTAGTAGTTTGTTTAGAAATTTGGAAAAGTTTTGAGTTAACTGATTTGTTAAAAAAAAACTTTTATAATTTAATATAAGGAATAGTTTGAGTAGATTCAGGTGAAATGAATTTAAGTGATTTTGTAATAAGAAATCAACCACCACTTCAATTCAAGCCGAGTGAATGGGTTTCACATAAAAAAGATCAATACTGTTTTACCAAGGCTCGAGCAACAGAAGCGGAAAAATTAATAGCTCATAATGATCGAACACAAAGTAAAGTACAGGAATTGATTAATAAAAATAAAAACGAAACGGAATGGTTATTTAAAGGAAGAATAAAAGACGTAGATTTTCTTAGAATAGAATTGGAAAAAAAGCGAAAATCCATTTACGACGAATTGGAAATATTGGAAATACTTCAGGAACGCATTCAAGATGAACTTAAATGCATAAGTAGAAATGCTAGTGAAATAATTCAAAAATGCATCGATTTTAGGTTAATATAAATAAATTATTGATATATTAATTAATAATTTAATGGTTGAAAAAAAATTTTTTTTTTTATTTAGGAAAAAAAGGCTGGGAGTAGATTATGTGCAAGACGAAGTTGAAAAGCTTTTAGAAATAGAAAAGAATAAAATTGCGGACGCGGTTACGGTATTAAATAAAACTCTAGAACAAGGAAAAGAATACAAAAGAGATTTAAGAGCTTCGCTTTATTTACTAAATAAGGATGTAAAAGATAAAATTACATGTCTAGCCATTGATTTTGAATGTTTGAATTTAAAAGAATATGATGAAAGCATTTGCATTCAACAAGAAAATGAGTATTCAAATTCGCCATCACCGTGAGATAATATTTTTAATTTTATTTCAATAAAAAAATTTTTTTTTCTTTGTCTTTTCTACCCATTCTTTTTCTAAATTTTTTTTTCCAGAAAAATTACAGTGGATGAATGGTCACGTTATTCCGAAGAAATAATGAAAGGAAGCGAAAAAAAAATTAAAAATTCAAGATTGTTCGAAGTAAACGTTAAAATATTATTAGAAAAAATTATAGAAGATTTGAGGGAACAGTATAATGTTGTAAATGAAGCTTTTCATAGGCAGATACTCGATATGAAAGAAGCTAAACTTAAATTAGAAGGACAACATTATGAAGTTTGTTAAATTTCAAATATAATTTTTTTTTAAAAAATTTTCAATGGAAAAATAATTTTAAAAAAAAAATTTTGTTTTTGGTCCAGATAGCGGGACAAGTGAACGATATGAAAAATCACATAATTCAATTGAAAAAATCAATAGAAGACAAATCAGGATTTTTAGCATTGGCTCAAACTCGTCTTAAAAAAAGACAAGAAAGACCTGGTGTTGAGCTTGTCAAGTAAGTTCATTTATATGAAAAATTTAAATTAAATTTTAATTAAATTACACTTTTAAAAAATTTTTTTGTTTTTAGGGACAGAGTTGAAATGGCTTTAATTTGTGAAGTATCAGATATAGAAAATTCTATTTCGAAACTTCAAAAATCACTTGTCGAGGTAGGTATAAAAAAAAAAAAAAGGTTTTAAATTAATTTTTTATTTATTAAAATTATTTTTTTTAATATTACAGGCTGAGAAATCATTGAGATGCCTTTTGGAAACTCAACTTCATTTGGAAGAAGAAATAAATATTAAAAATAACAGTATTAAAATTGATGAAGTTGATTGTTTGACAATAAGAGAAAATATTATTTATGAATTATTTTAATAAAAAAAAAAAAAAAGAAAAGTTTATTTTTATTATTGTAATCTTTTGTAGGGTTTTAATAAAAGAATTATTATTATTTGAGATTAAAGTTGGCGTGTGTGTGAATTTATATTTTATAAGCGAATTATTACTAATTTTAAATAAATAAGTTTTTTAAAATTAAATTTGTAGTAAATTTATGTTAAAATGTAATCCATTTCATTCATGAAATATTTATTTTAGTTTTTTTTTTTGAGTAACAACTTTTGTTTTCATATGTTTAATCCAAAGATTAAGATTTTGAATTAGCTGAATAAGGCCCTGAAAAAATAACCTCACAATTTTTACTCAAAAGTTAAATAACGGAAAATTCGATCAGGTATTTTAATCAAATTTACTTTATTTAATTTAAAATGAATAAAATAAAAACAAACACTGTAAATCAGGGCGCAGTTTTATTTTATTTATTATTTATAAAATATACTAATTTTAATATTTAATCAGTGTCTCAATATTAGTTGGATATGGGATTATCTGCTAATGGATTAAGAGATAGCATAACTACTGGTCGTCAATTATACAAATACTTATTGAGAGCATGCAAGTGTTTACCATCAGGTGCTTCACAACATTACAGACATTCGATTAAACAAGTAAATAATTTATTTGAATGTTCATGTTTTTAAAAATATACAATTTTATTTACAAGTTGATGATACTTTTATAAAAGTATTTTGATATTGAACAATGTTTTAATTTTAAAATTTTGCTTTTGTTTTAGAGTTTTAAACAACATATTAATGAAACGAATCCTGAAAGAATTAAGGAAATAATAGAAAGATCACTTGAAGATGCCGATTGGGTTTTAAAGAAGTATAAATAGAATTAAACTTTATAAAATTAGTAGCTTGAAGGAATTTGTTAATATTTTATCTTTAATAATTTATTTTACTGTAAATGTTTGTGATAAAAGTAATTATTAGGTACTAGCCATTATTGTATACATTTTCTTACAAAAAATTTATGAAATATAAGTTTATATTTATAGTGTTGTATCGAATATTATTTAATCTTTGAAATAAAAGTTGTTAATATAAATGAAAAATTTAATTATCAGTTATTTTAAGATTTATGAATAAAAATATATTAGAAAATTACATTAAAAGTACATCTACATTGATACTTAATATAGAATTTAAATATAAATTAATACAAGAAATAAATAATAAAAAATTCACTTGTAAAAAATTTTTAAATAAATTAATTTAAAAGATTGTATTACAGAATTAAGCCCATAATAATAATAATAACCTCAAAGTAAGTAAGAAATATTAAAAAACTATATATGGATTAACAGTTTTAATTCATTACTTTTTATAATTAAGATTTAATAAAGATAAAATGAAGGAATAAAAAAAAGAGCAAAAAAATTATTCATCAAGGGTATAGAAAGTGAGTCATCGATTATTACACGTTTTCTATTTACACGTCTGTTTCTATAGGAACGTTTCCGTTGTCGAGTTTTTAAAAAAAAAAAGTTATGAGTAATAGGGTAGTTTTTGTAAGTGAATTTTTAAAATGTGCGGAAATAAAATAATAAATAGTTACGAAATAATACAGTTTCCTAGCCATTTGAAATTGAAAAACTCCATACACTCAAATTGATTTTTCTGAAGATGTTAAAAAGAATTGTAATTCGATAATTAACGATCCTAGACTTAGCAAAGTGATTATATTAGGGGATGTTAATGTCGGTAAAACAAGTGTGGTCAATAGATTTTGTAGGCAATCATTTAATTTTAATTATAAAGCTACAATCGGCGTCGATTTTGAAATTCAACATTTTAAAATATTGAAAACTCCTTTCAACATTCAAATGTAAGTAAAATTTAAACGTTTTCTTTTTTTATACTACTATGATCAACAAAATTTTTTTAACCGTTTTTTTTTTTTTTCAGATGGGATACAGCTGGACAGGAGAGATTTAGATGTATAGCAGCAGCTTATTACAGGAGTGCACATGGTAAAGTATCTCTTTAATTATAAATTAAATTAATATTTCAAAATTAAACTTTTAATTTTTTTTATTAAGTTGTAGTCACAGTATTTGATTTTACAAACATAAACTCATTAAGAAATAGTTTAGATTGGTTAAATGAAGCAACAAATGCAAATTCGTCACTCCCTCCATTAAAATTTTTAGTCGGTACTAAAAAGGATTTAGTGGTAAGTTTGAAAAAAAATAATAATTAAGTTTGTCGAGAAAAAAAATATATTAAGTAATTATGTTTCAGACCGATTCTGTTTACACTAAAATTGAAGAAATAGCAATTAAAATGGCCAAATCAGTGGAAGCAGAATATTGGGCAGTTTCTTCCAAAACCGGAGATGGTGTGAAAGGTTTATTTTTTAGAATAGCAGCTCTTTCTTTTGAACGTATAATAAAACAAGAAATGGAAATGCCATTAATTAAATGCAAAACGTTAATTTTAACACAAAGTTTGATATGTTCGTACCTGACAATTTTTATTTATTTCAGTTTATTAACTAATATTAAATATAATTGTTAAAAAATTTTTAGGTATGAAACAAGAAAATGACATTGGAAAAAAAGGCTGTAAAATCGGAGATAAAAAATGCTACATAAAGTAATATTTTT